AACATCATTTATAATAAATATCTATATATAGCTTATCGGAATCAATCGATTCGTTTCATTTAATATGATTTCAATCGATATTAATCATTTTCAAAATCATATAAATGATTGATTTATTTTCTAGGATTTAAATATAATCGAACAAGTGCAAAAAAAAACCGAACTCAAACAAAATTTTTCTTCTCCTCATCAATATTTTAATATTGATTATTCTATCTTATTCTTTTCAACTCATATATTATTTAAGTTCATATATATAAATATATATATATATATATATATATTTGATTACATCACGACCCTTTATCAATAAATAAATAGAGCAAGATAAAAAAAAAGAAGTTTTATCAAATGAGTAATATATATGTTCTTCTTTTCTGATGTATTTCTAAAAAACAGTGACATAAATATGTTTAAGAATAGGAAATAAAAAGACAAAAAAAAAAGAAATCAAATGAACATATTTATGAGTACAGCGACATGCATGAAAAAACAGAAATGCGTGATTTATGTCGACTTATGTGTAGTTAAATAAAAAAAGGCAAAGAAAAACCAAAGGTTTTGATCTACTTTATATGCACATACATATATATATATCTGAACAAGGATACTGGATAATAAAATTGATTTATTTTTGATTTTTTAAGGTTTATCAAGTTGTACCATAAGCAAACGAAAACTTATCGATGATGATGATAATATTCTATTACATTCTTGCGAACTTATTGGTAATTTTAAATATTCTGTTTCGGTATTATTTTGATTAAATTCATAATGATAAATAATTGGTTGAATTTGTGATGTTGATGGATCACCATGTGGTCCTTTGAGTATAAAAAATTTTAAATCAATTGTTTGACTTATTTTAGATTTAAGTACTAATTGATAACTTAATGATCGTGTAACTATTGTATGTGGATGTGGAATATTATCATTAATACGTGCACGTACTTGCCATTGATATTGTAATGCTGTAAAACGTGATGTTTCAAAATAAAGTTTAGCAACAAAATCATCAGTTCGACATGGTTTTAAAATAAGATCTATAGAAAAATAAGAACGAATTAACTTTTTATTTATTTTAACAAATTCTATGATTTAAAAATTATTTGATAATTAATCTATTTAACTCAAATATATTTTCTATAAAACTATGTTAAAATGGTTATATCTACAAGATTATTAGAATACAATTCTAGATAGTTCTATACTTATCATCATATTATTACATGCATAATAATACTAATTTCAAGAACTGAATATCAAATATATCTATGAGAATTCTAATATATGGCAAAAATTTTAACGCAACTTGTACAATAGCTTATATTGTCGTTAATCAATCACCAAGAAAGATAATTATTACTTGAAATACCATTATCGTGATTCACAATAAATTAGAATAATATATAACTCTAAAGTAGACATCAGATAGTGAGCATTACTAGTCTTTTTTTTTTTTCGTAATTCAATCCAAAATGAACACATATGTAACAACATAATTATCAAGTTATTTCAAAATAATCTGCTTGAGTTCTTATTCGATTGTTGAGATTGATCATTCCTGTAGAAATATCAAATAATGAAAGGATCAATTTCTCGTCACTCTGATCGGAACAGAGTTTACTGTATGGTGATGGAAAAAAGTTTAACGACAACATATTTTCCGTTTTTTTTTTCTATAATGTTAAGCATCTAGCTTAAATCAAGATAGGAATTTTAATAGTCAATGAAATTTTCTATTTAATGCATTCTATACCAAGATTTCTAAAACCATCGAACACGGTAGTTTTCTGGTTTCAGAACATACTTTGTCAGCTCTATTTTTTGGCAATGCTATTTTAAAGAGCACAGATGACGGGTCGCCGCATTTTGTTCTCTCAAGAAGTTACAAGCATCATAAAAAACGCCGTTTTTTTCGATATTTGTGATACTTTTAATTTTTTAAGAGAAAGAAATGCGGCGACTCGTCATTTTCTTCAGAATTTCATGCTCTTTAAAATAGCATTATTAAAAAACAAGCTCTGATTAAGTATTCTGAAACTAGAAAACTACCATGTTCAGTGTTTTTAGAAATCTTGATATAGAGAATGCATTAGATAGAAATTTTCACTGACTATTAAAATCATTATCTGGATTTGAACTAATTGCTTAACATTATAGAAAAATAAACAATATGTTGTTGTTAAACTTTTTTTTCCACTACCTTAATCAACCACTTATATAATATCAATTTTCTATTTAACTCATATGCCGAGACACATCTAGATTGATAAGCTTTAAGTCTTAGTTACATTCAGTTTCATCAGATGAAGTTTGATCTCATACGAAAAGATTCCATTGCTTTCAGACTAAAACTGCTAGTTGTTTGAAAACAATCTTCGTGTTATCGAATAAATTCTCTACATTTATAACATTAATCTTACTTGGAAAAAAGTTCTTTGATTTGAATCACTTACCACTAACTCCAATTTGATTGAGTGAAAGTAAATCAACTACTGTTTCGAGATATTTTTTTTCGTCATCACAACCACGTTTTTGTGCACGTATTGTTTCAATTAATTCTAAACCTGTTTTAGTTGGATATTCACATATGGCTAGATGTGATGATAACGTATGAAATGGTCCATTCCAATTACAGCCAAGTAATGAATAATCACATATTGTAGGTCTATAAATTAAGGGAATGCTTTTTTTTTCTTTCTTTTTACACAAGACGGTCCATAAGTAGCCTGATAATAAAAAAATTCAAATATCTCCATTCTATGGAGTTAAGTTTTTTCGCGTGATAAAGAAGACTTCAGGGTTTTTTGTTCCATAAGAACTTTATGACCTGGCAAATCATAACATGAATCGAAAATTACACAGTATATTTTTTCGCAACCTCTATGAAAATGGGCATCTGCAAGAATAGCCAATATGTGCAAGCCAAGGTAATTCTCACTTCCACTTCGTTGTATTCAAGAAAAGACAGATATCTATATCAGCGACAAGACAGAAACGAGAACTACGTGTCGCACAACGAAATACACGATCAAATATATTCATCGAAGGATAAATGCATAGGCGGCAGAACGTTTTGATTCTAGGGTAGGCTCAACATTTTTTAAATAAGATCCTCATCTAAAGGTTAAAAATAAGAGAAAACGAATTTTCGAATGCCACTTAGATGAAATATAGTTAGTGTCTCTTCTATTGAACTCACATTTTTCAATATGTAACAGTGGCAAAATCCAATGTTTCTTAAAAAACTTTTTCTAAGTCTTTCTTGATTGAGAATATGTTATTATTAGCTGCCGAAGACGACGAAAAATATTGATGTTGGTACAAAAAAAATGTGATGCGCTACCCAAACTTATCAATCTGATGGAAGGAAAAAAGTGTTTAAGTCTGTCCTAGTCCACCAAGCGTGAATCTAGAGTAGGCTTTTGCTTTCCTAAGCTTTGTGGCTTCGTCGCCTATGCTTATTGAACATGAGTTGGTGATACATAAAATATGAACTGATCTTCTAAGAATGCGTCATTTATCAGAAGAAAATGAAAATTAAATAGTGAGATAGGAAATTTTTAGACTAATTAGAACCTATATAAGCCTTTATCTATTCAATATGAGATGGACTCGAGTCTAGCCAAGTGTTTACCTGTCCTGGCATTAGCTTACCCAGGCCTTGTGCTTCCATCGCCTATGGACGCAGTATACACACATGAATCTGCTACAGCCATCTTCAACACTGTAAAAGATAGAAATTCATTATTGAAGCCAATGATGATACTTCAACGCAATATTTATAAAGGTTGTTCTTGTGGAAAACAAACTCTGAAGTCTGTCCTATTACGCACAAAAAATTAACCACATCGAATGAAGATATTCAAAGTTTTTTATCGTAAAACTACTTATGAACCATCCTATATTTAGACTGAATATTACAAACCGATCAGGACAATTTTGTGATTGATGAATTTTTATTTCTGAACGTAAAAATATTTGAAGACAATAATCACATTGTATTGGTAATTCTGATATGGTTTTCTCCACTGCTAAATTTCTCGTACAATTCGATTTAGAAATTTCACAACGACAATTTGGACTAAAAGATTATTTTCTTTTCTCAAGAACTTCTTTTCTGTTTTTCAATAGAAATTTTTTTTTTTTACACATACCATGTTGTCTGTTCATCTTTTAATTTACAATCAGCTAATAAATGATTAAAACATGAAGCACACATAAGATGTCCATTAACACACTAGAAAAAAGAAAACGATTTTGATTTTATTTTTTGATTTTATTATTTTAAAAGAAATTTCTTCATTCTTACTTGAAATATCGGTAATGTTGAAAGATCCAAACAAATACAACATGATAAAATAGAACTAAGACGATCTTCAAGTAAACGAGGTTTATCATTTGTTGTTAATTTACATTTTTTTGTCGGTGGTTCATCAACAATAGTTGAATCTAACATTGAATTAGTTGTTCCTGTTGTTGATAATGTTGTTTCATTTGTATCAGAAGATAGATTAACTATTATTTCTGATGATAAATTTTGTTGTAGATCATTAGATATTGTTGTTGTTGTTGTTGTTGTTATTTCAGTCATTGAAATAGATAGATTTAAAACAGAAAGAAAATGAAGAACTAAATTTAATCTAATAATTCTAAAAAGAGAAAAAAAAGACCACGTGATAATGTTCAGTCAGCTGACGTCATATCATCTTTTTCAATGTAAAAATTCATTGGTTAATTCTAACCAGTTATTAAATATGATTAACCTCTTTAAAAATTCATTGTTTTAAATAAATATAAATTTATTTTGAAATTTATTTTATGATGCAAATAAAACCTATTTTATTCTCTTTTAAATATATATATGTTTTACAAACAAATCAATAGCGCTATTGGTTAAGTTCATTCACCGATGAGAGTAGCCCAAACAAGATGTGGAAAAGAATCTTTTTTTTTCTTCGATCGACAACTTTAATATTAATAAGTCTATAATAAAAATGTCAATACCACAGCCTCCAGACGGTATTTATTCTCATCTATTAATCTAAACATTCTACATATCATTCATTGTTTAGATCCCGAAACAAGAAATATTATTGAAAAACTTGCTAGTTTTGTTGCTCGTATGTTTTTTAAATTTTATTAATATTTTCAATAATCGGTTGCTGTTTTTCTTTTCTCTCTTTATAATAACAGGTAATGGTCCAGAATTTGAAGCAGCAGCAAGACAAAAACATGAAAATAATCCAAAATTTGCTTTTCTTCATGGTGGTGAATATCAACATTATTATGCATTTCGTGTTCAAGCCGAAAAAGCTTGTAAATCTATTACGAATCATTTAACATTGTTCTTCATTTATTTTCTTTTTTTTTTCTTAGTACTTCAACAACCACCTAATCCTTTTCATTTACCACCACCAAATATTCTCGGTCCACCAACATCGATGTCTCGACCGACATTACCACCATTTCCTGGTCCTCCTCCACCACCTGGAACAAATGGTCCACCTCCTCCTTGGACAGTATGTGTTTAGATTTAATTCATTAAACAAAAAAAAAAAAAAATAATAACTTTTATTTTATATAGCAACCACCACATTTGTTTCCATCCGGACCACCTCCACCTCCTATGCCTATTCCACCAATTCCACCACCACCTGCAGTTGTAATTGAACAAGCATTTCAACAGCAAATTCAAGCATTACAAGAACGTTTAAGACAAAGTGAAATAAATCTTGCTGCACAACGTGATTCAATGCAAATGAATAAAAAAGTATTTGTTTTTTGAAAATTTCGATAATTTTTCATGTTTTCGTTTTTGTTAGACAAAAGTTCAAGAAAATATTCGAGCTGCTAGACAAGCACGTATAGCAGCACAAGCAGCTGAATCAAATATTAATATGAATGAACTTGATCAAACAACATTATCGATAATTGAAGCTTGTACAAAAGATAATATTACAGTAAAATTCTTTTTTTTCTTCTTTTATTGATAATAATAAAATAAATTTTAAATTTCATTTAGATTGGTCGAAATTGTTTGCTTAATTATAGTCAAACAGCAATGCAAGCAGAAACAATTTGTTTATATTTAATTGATCGTATATTAGCACCTGAAGCAACGTTTGATATTCGTCTTCATTTAATTTATCTTATTAATGATGTACTTCATAATTGGTTAGATAATTATATTTGAGCTTTTTATCTTTTTTTTATTTGATTTTATTTATATTTTATTCTAGTATTCGTAAAGGTAACGAAGAACTTCGTATACAATTGAGCAAAATCATTGTACCAATCTATTGTTTGGCTGTTGATCAATCAAATGATGAACGTAAACAAAAATTGGTCAAGGTAGAGATATTTATTAGAAAAAAAAAGATGGATAAGAAATTTTCCTGAGATTTTATTAAAAATTTATTATAAAATCTTTATCCACATCCTTTCTCATACAGTTACTTGATCTTTGGGAAAAAAACAATTATTTCAATACTGAAATTATGGAGGTAAAAGTAAATTTTAATTTAAAAGAACGACAAAAATTATTTTATTCATTTTGTTTTTTAGAAACTTCGTGATATTCCACAAGCAAAAAAACATTTTGAGGTAAACAAAAAAAAAAAAAAGATTATATAATCAATATTTTTATTGACGACATTTTTTTTGTATCTAAAAACAAAAAGGATGCTATACGTACTGAATATGCGCCTATAATTGAACCAATTGAAGCTGGTCTAGAGGAAAAATATGCTCAACTTGAACGACAACATGCAGAATTTGCTGTTCATATTCAATCACAAATCAATCAAATTCAACAACAAATTCTTCAATTACATCAAGTTCAACAACAAACACCTCCACCATTACCACCGCCACCTCCACCTCATTTATTGAATAATACTTTTGGTATTAGAAGTTTTCAAATTTAAAATACATATAGGAATTAGAGATGTCCATGTCGCTGTGGCAATAGCAGATTTTTCTTGAGGATAATGGAAAAATGCCTGAATTTGAAGAGAACTTCAGTGTCTGCAAATGCAACACTCTGAATCTCATCGATTAATAACAATAGTTCTAGTCTAAACCAGTCTCAGTTGTAAAATTCAAAACATTTTTCTAACAACTATCGCAGCAGCAGTGAGTTTTCAGCCGTGATGGACATCTCTGATAGGAATGTACCAATATCTAGAGCATGATGTCGAAGATGACTTTTGTTTTTTTCTTATTATAATAATATAGTTCCTGTGGATTGTTTATATCAATCGTGACCAACTTCTTTTTGGCTCTATTTGAAGTTGTATTTCATGAATTACTACTACAACTTCGGATAGAACCAATAAAAGTTAATCATGATTGATATAAATGCCTAAATACATAATAAAAATAAGTTTTTAGGTCCACCGCTTCCACCTAATATGTTAACTCGAATGCCACCTCCATCACAATCAAATAATTCTAATCCACAACAACCTCCTCCTCTAATGTCACTTAATCCATTTAATGAAAATACTCGAGATAATTCTAGTAAGAAAATCTTTATTTATCAAAATAACAAATTCTTTTCATTTTTAAAGATCTTCGTCCATCATCAAATATCTATGAAAATACTCCTCCAGCATTAATGTCAATGCCTATTTCTCATTACGATAATAATAATAATAATAATAATAATCATCATCAACATGATGATTATGGAAATAGTATTAATACACAAATAGAACAACCATTTGACTTATGTATGGTTACGAATGATATACCTTATTATGATCTTCCAGCCGGTCTTATGTGTTTATTAGTTAAAGTAATACTTTATTTCAAATATTTTGCTTTAGTTTTTCTTTGCCTATGTACTGTTTATTTCTTTCTTTGTAGAGTGAAGATTGTGATTATAATTCAATTGATCCATTAGATGTACATTTACCACCATCGGAACCAATAACTGAACGATTATTAGCTGCTGTTGAAAATTTTTATATGCCACCAACACATGAAACACCAAGAAATTCGTATGTTTATTATAGATAATTATAGTATAAAATGTTAATTCACTATTAAATTCTAGTGAGGGTTGGGAACGATTAGGTTTATTTGAATATTATAAAACAAAAAATACATTTAAATTTTCAAAAGAACGTCTTCAACGTCTTGAAACAACTATAAATGATCAAGATGATAAAGAATCTATGAATAAAGATAAACGACAACAATTTGATAGAAGTCGTTCAAAAAGTTCATCAAATTCATCATCAAGATCATCATCGGCATCATCATCTCCATCTTCATCTTCATCATCATCATCATCGTCATCATCATCATCATCTGCTTCTTCACCAAAGAATAATCAACCTAAAAAACGATCTAGGTTAATGAATCATTTCTTTGTTTTTTTCTTTTCATTAGAAAAATATCTTCTATTTTTCATTAGATCTCGATCAGAATCACCTTCATATAATAGACAATATTCATCAAAAATGAATTCATCAACAAGATCTCGATCTCGTAGTACATCTCCACCATCATTTACTTCAGCATATACATCTCAAAGGTAAATTATCAATATAATCTTAATCAAAAATTTAACAAATATATACGTTAATTAATAGAAATTTTCTATAAAAGTTTTTCCTTGAGTGAAGTCGGATTTGCCTATCTATATGTATAACACCGAGTTAATAACAATAAATAAATAAAAAAAAAATTCTACTAGCATATCTCTAATATGATTAAAATATAAAATATGATAGGATTACTCGTATTATAAACGGGAAGTTAAGCAATGTGAGTTACTGTATGTTTGTAGTCAAACAAGACGTTAATTGTATTATGTTATAAGTCCTCTCCTTCACTCAAAAAAAGTCAATTGTCGTCAGAAAAATTGAAATGAAAGATAATCTGAAGTCTGATCTTTCATAAACAGTATGGTTTTTTATTTGACATCTTGATTTTTTGATGATTTTCGTCGAGTTCTGCTTGAAAAATATTCTTTTCTAATCGTGTATACCTGAATTCTCAAAAACAGGTTCATTGTAGTCAATTGATTTTTTTTATTGTTTGAAAGAACATGTAAAGCTGCAGTGCTTAGTAGAAACCCATTTTTTGAGGAATTGAATTTATCATCCTTTTTCTCTACATAAAGAACTTTAAAAAAGAGTACTGCAGTCTAACATGCTCTTTCAAATACAAAAAAAAAAAAAAAAACGTTCAATCTATAGAATAAGAGCCCACAGAGAATTTCGAGTTCTCAAATAAACTAGTTTTTCAGCCTTATTTGTTGAATATCTTTCGAGAACATCATTATTTCAGGCTAAAAATTTTAGGATAGCTTCTCCATTACAACTCCAACATATCCTGAAAGATTCATATGATTTAAATACATCTGTCCTATGATCAATTTCTAAAACGAGAGACCTCAAATTTTATTTTGTTAAACAAATAGATGAGTATCGAATTCATTGTTTGGTAGATTTTTTTTTTTTTGAAAAACGTACTAGTGCTACAGGTTTCGACTTTTATCAGATGTCCAGAAAATACTACATAATTCCGAACTTATCTGATATAAAAACAACTAAAGGAACATTTATTATTTTGTTCTAGTTCAACAGGTGGAACACATCATCGTTCACATCATCAACATAAATTAGGTGATTCAAATCTTGGTCATAAACTTTTACAAAAAATGGGTATGAGAATAGAATTTTCTAATAAATTCTTCTTAAATATAAACAAATTTCTATTAGGTTGGCAAGAAGGTGCAGGTCTTGGTCGACGTGAACAAGGTATTATTGAACCAATAATGGCAAGTACAAGTGTAAATAATGAAGGAAAAATTGATCAATATAAAGGTATTGGTCATGAAGATGATCCATTTGAACAATTTCGTAAACAAAAAGCTAAAGGTTATGTAACCCGTTTAATTGCTGCACAATCTGGAACATCAGCAAGACGTCATGAAAAAACCGACGAAGATATATCATTATCAGATCGTCAAGATGAAATAAAATAGAATAAAGAAAAAAAAGAAAATTTCTTTGTTTTTTTTTTGTCTTGTATATCATTGATATGTTATTAATCTCTCATCTTGTTTATTAAATAAAATGATTCAAAAAAAAAAAACAAATTATCTTTTTAGATTAAGAAAAAAAAAAACATCATGGTTAAATTACAACGTATTCAACGTCCAAAAACTCATCGTGGTAAACGTGCATTAAAAGAACGTGAACCAAAATTAATTGAAAATGCTCGTTCATTATTATGTATACGTGGTAATAAAATAAATAATATAATGAAAATTTTATTAAAAAATCTTCATCTACTTAAATCACCATATTCAACAATGTATCAAAAAAAAAATCTTGATATCTATCCATTTGATAATACAAGTAAATTAGAATGGTATTGTCAAAAATCTGATTGTTCATTATTTGCATACATAACACATAGTAAAAAACGACCAAATAATCTTATTTTAGCACGTTTACATAATAATATTGTTATGGATATGTTTGAATTTGAATTAAATAATCAAACATTTCGTTCATTAGATGATTTTAAATGTATTAAATTTGCTCCTGGTAATAAACCATGTTTAATATTTCATGGTGAATTATTTGATAATGAATCTGAATATAAACGTTTAAAATGTTTTTTTATTGATTTTTTTCGTGGTGAAACAAATATGAAAGAAATTGATCTTAATGGACTTGAACATGTTATTACATTTACACTTGATATACAAACAAAATTATTATCTATACGTGTTTTTCGTATTGAATTTAAAAAATCTGGTCATCGTATACCAAGAATTGAATTAAATGAAATTGGACCACGTTTAGATTTAATTATTCGTCGAACAAAATTAGCATCAGATGATTTTTATAAAAAAACACTTAAACAACCAACAGCAATTAAAGAGAAAAAAATTAAAAATGTAACAACAAATGAATTAGGTACAAAAATGGGTCGAATACATATGGAAAAACAAGATTTTAATCAATTACAAACAAGAAAAATGAAAGGTTTAAAACGTAATTTAACAATTGATAATGAACAAACACAAGGAAAAAGAAAAAAAATTGATTCAACTAATTAAAAATAAATTTCATTGTTTTTGTTTTGTTTTGTTTTTTTGATTTCGAGAATAAATCATAACTTCTAGTTATGTTCTTGATTTCAGATGGCATCGAACGAACAGACAACATCAACGGCTAGTAATGCTAAAGTAACTTTTAAAATAACATTAACATCTGATCCGAAATTACCATTCAAAGTGTAAATAATAGTCTTGTTTTCTTTTCTTTTTTCTCTTGATTAATTTAATCGTATATTTTTAGTTTAAGTGTACCGGAAAATACACCATTTACTGCTGTTCTAAAATTTGCTGCTGAAGAAGTAATTATTAAAACATGATTTTTTTCGTTTTTCTCTTTGTTATATGAAATAAGTTTTTTTTTATGAAATTGAAATTCTTTTAGTTTAAAGTTCAAGCAGCTACAAGTGCAATTATTACAAATGATGGTATTGGAATCAATCCATCACAAACAGCTGGTAGAATAAAGAAAAAAAATTTTTTTTTTGAAAATTGATAATTTTAATGTTTATTTGTTCTTTTAGGTAATGTCTTTCTCAAGCATGGAGCAGAACTTCGAATCATTCCACGTGATCGTGTTGGTTATTGAAGTCGAAATTTAATTTTAATCATTTAGTTTTTCTTTCTGAAATTTACTTATTTATCTTAAAAACTGAATAAATAACTTATTGAAAAACTATAGGAATTTTATAAAATTAGTTTCGTTTTCTATAAAAAAAAAAAAAAAAAAAACAATTTTTTTTCTCGTCAAATAGATGAGTACATCTTCGTCTTCTTCTGAATCAACATTACCAAAATTACCAGAATCTGAATCAGACGCATATGAACTTGAACAAGAACATGTTCATAAAGTTTATAATAAAATTGCTCATACCTTCAGTGATTCTCGCTATAGACCATGGCCTCATGTTGCTAAATTTTTACATACTTTTTCCAGTGGTTCATATGTACTTGATATTGGTTGTGGAAATGGAAAATATATGAATGTTAGAAATGATTTGATGATGGTAGAAAAAAAAAATAAATTCTTTTTGTTTTTAATTTCTATCTAATATTATTTGTCATAATAGTAGATTGGTTGTGATCGATGTGAAGGTCTTTTAAAAATATGTCGTGATCGTCATTATCAAGTATTTCTTTCTGATTGTATGAATATACCTGTACCAACAAATACATTTGATGGTGTTATATCTATTGCTGTTATTCATCATATGAGTACTGAAGTAAGAAAAACAAAAAATAAAAAATAAAGAAATTAAATTATAAAAACAAAAAAAAGATTTTTATAATAAAATAGAATCGACGATTAATAGCCTTACAAGAAATTGTTCGAATATTAAAACCAAATGGTCAAGCATTGATTACTGTATGGGCAAAAGAACAAGAAATTGAAAATAAAAAAAGTATATATATTAGTAAACATGTAAAACCATCTCTATTGAATATGTCTTCGATTAATATGAATGATGAAACAAAAAATGAATTAATTATTCATACACCACGTACAGAATTTCAACGATCTGATTGTCTTGTACCATGGGTAAAACCAACAGAACAACATTTAAGATATTATCATGTTTTTATTAAAAATGAACTTGAAAATTTATTGAATCATATTTCAAATATTGAAATTATTAATTCATATAATGATGATGGAAATTGGTGTGTGATTTTTCGAAAAATTTCATAGGAATTCGAACAAAAAAAATAAATAGATCTTTTCTTTATGAACATAAACAAATAATAAATCTATTTTCGTGTCTATGTTTTTTTGGAGGAGATCAATCATAAAAAAGAAATGACTAATATATCATTGCGACTTTGCTCTTTCAAAGAAATCTCTTACACTTAATTGATATCATGATCGATGGTGTTAGGTAATAATAACGGATGATCAGAATGTTTTTTGACAAGATGTTTGTTCACTTTTGCCTCGCTTGAAAGTATCTCCGACGAGTCAAAACCCATGAGTTTATACGCTTTTCGAATATAGTGCTAGAAATTTTGTTTCAATTCTTGTTCGAAACTAGTGAAATGACGTTTGTAAAGACTAAAAAATTAGTTTGGACGGAACTTGTAGATTAACGTTTCCGACGAATATATTTGTTCATTTTGGCCTGCTTGAAAGCATTTCAGTAAAGTTCGCGACTAGAATTTGAATATGAGCTTAGAAATATTGTGTCTATTTTTGTTCAAGAATGGTGAAGAACTTTTGACAGACTCGAAAAAACTTATTTTTAATAGTGAGCCAACAGAATTTTGTTTATCCTATAAGTCACTTTTCGAGCATGCTAAAAATTGTTGGAGTCAGTCGTTTTGTAGAACGAACATTTCTTTACAAAATGTGATAGTCAACTATGCTGCAACTTTTACAAAAATAAGGCTATAAGCATTTTTGCAAGAGTTCCTTTCAATGTAAATCGATTGTCAATTTTTCAAAACTGAGTACTTAGAAAGAACGAATATTGAAGTGTCTTATCGAAAGACAAAAAATAATTTCAGACAATGTATCTTGTAGAATGGCTTCTGATCTACAAGCTGATGTATAAATAAAGATCCTAAGTTTTAACTTCGAATAGCAATAGTGAAAATACACAAAATATGCGGAAAAATTTTCCGTTCAAACAAATTTTTTGTACTTGTTAAAGATAATTTTACTACTCTCAAACAAAAATCGAAACAATATTTCTAAAGTTATATTTGAAAAGAGCGTAAAATTCTGGATCCTAGTTCATAGTTTTTGACTCGTTGGAATTACGTCAGATGTGAAGAAACATCTTGTCGAAAAGTTTTCCAATCATCTGTTATTGACTTGCTTTATTTCTAGTATAAATTTAATTTTTATTATTTAAATTTGGATAATAAAAAAAAAAAGGAAGAAAATAAAAATTTATCAAAGTAAAATATTTTAGGTTGATAATTTATCATTTTATAAAACTAAAGAGCAAATTAGTGAATTATTGTTACATGCTAGCGATATTAAATGTACGATTATGGATTTTAAATCAAGCAATAAAAATTCTATGTAAAGATCTTTTATCATCAAATTTCTATTTGATCACTTTTTCTAGCATGAAGTGAGTTTTATTTTGTTGAATATCATATGAGGTAAGATAGTGAATAAATAATGAGACGTTTAAATTAAAGACAAGTTCATCATCTAATGCTTATATGAACTAATTGCGATGCTGGTCTTATTAATGGATATCAATATGACCGTGGACGAGTTTGAATTATATATTAAATATTCCTTTGAAATTTTTTTTTTTCTTTTTACGTAGGTATGTGATTAATATCATAGAAGTCATGCTCCAATGTGACAATAGGTTTTTCAAACGATATAATGTAGCAATAGATACAGAGGAAAAGTCAGCTTTTTTTATTATAAAATTAAAAAAAAATCTATTAAACTAAAAAATAAATAATTGGTGCAAGAACACAAATGACTAAAAGACGAAAAATATTTGAAAAAAGTAATAATTTTCCTTGTTTTGATCGATTAGAATCATAATGTAAACTAAGAAGATGTTCTCCGTCTTCATTTCTACAATCATTATCATTAAATTGTATATTTGTATTTAATGTTGTTATTGGTTGGAGAGTTACTGTATTAGTTGCTCGATTATATGTTGGAACTGATGTAGCTGCTAATGAATGAGATGATGTTCGATTGGATGATTCAGATTGAATTTCATCGTTTTGATTACAAGTTTTTACAAGTTCGACTGCTGAAAGTGATGTCATTGGATTTCAAAAGAAAGAAAATGTTACCATGATGTTGTTTTAGATTTTATAAAAAAAAGGTTCGACGTAAGATAACAAAGGTAAAGAAAGATATAACACACAAAGAAAATAACATGATAACTCATACGAAAAACTATACTATAGATGAGTTTCTTTTTGTTTGTTATATAATACAATTCTAAATTGTACTGAACTAATTTAATAAGATTAAGTTTTGTTCTTAAAAGTTTTTAATCCAAATAGAATTAAAATATTTAGTGCATGTTCTTAGACTTTTGTTGTAGTTTATTTTTTGCCACAAATTAATACTTGCTGATGTCAACAATTATTTTCTTCATATAATAAAAGATAACAGTATATTTTTTATTAAAGTATATTGAACAAAGATTATCAAATAATTGTGTTGAAATCAAATTCATTAATTATTTCATAAATCAATTAGTGTTTATTATATATGCTTATCGAATTACAATAAAACACATAATATACTATATGATTTTGATAAAGAAACCATAAAAAAAAACTGACAAAAATATATATATATATATCAATTTTAGAGAGTACTTATCGTAGACTGTAATTTCAAGAATGATTTTTCTTTCTCAAAAATAAAGTCATTATTTCATGATCTGAATGAAGTAAGATAAAATGGAGATTTTTTCAAAAATATAAAAGAATATATTGACATATAAAAAAATATTGAATGTTTCCATTAATCTTCCTTCAAAAAAAGATAATAGAGGAAGTCCTGTTTTTTTTCCGATTGAATATCTAAGGACAGGATATTTCATTTTATTTATTAAAATCAAATAGAATGTCACAAGATTATTATTACTATTTTTTATTATTTTATAAAAAATATTCTTTAACTAAGATTGAACATTAATTTGAAATAACAAATATGTGTACACGTTACATATTTTATCCAAATGATTATCACAAAATATGTTATAGTTAAAAAGACTCTCTTCTTAATAAACACAGATACTTGTTAAATATTTCAAATGATAGAGTGCAGAATGTGTGTTAAGGACACAAAAAAAAATATGCCAAAGTCAACTATATATTTCATGATACGTCATATCAAAATTATTTTTAGATCAAAGGAATACATGTTTGAATTTTTGCGACGTTTCTATATGATAAAATAGACGTATCACTTTATTACTAATTTATAATAATTAGTTTGTTATTGTACGCTTGAAGGATGATATGTCGTAATAATATGAATAGTAGCCACAATTATTGCGTTTTTGTTCCTCTTATTTTCTTAAATTACATATAATACTGCGTCTATCAGTTTGAGTTTTATTATAGAAAAAAAACACACAGTCATCATGAAAGAAATATCTCACGCAAATAACTAAACATGGCCAATTGACATACACACACACATACCTGCATGTGTGTAATACAAGAAATCAAAGCGAAACAGAAGGGAAAAGAGAGAAAAACACAAAATATAGATGCATTATAAGAAAAAAAAGAAGATAATTATAGAAGACGAGAGTAGAAACCAAACAATTCAAAACCCCAAGGAGCAGTGTTCGCCCATCAAACGGAATGTAAAGAACGAAAGAAAAGACAAGAAAAAAAAAAGAAAATCATGTACATCATACATTTGAATAGACAATAAAAATGATCACTGGTCTTTTTTTTTCTCTTTTTTTTTCAATCCATGTGAAAAAATAAACAAAACAAAATTGAATGACTCATTTTTTGTCTTTTTTTTTGATAAAAATAAATACTCACACCGGCGAAGATTAAACTAATCACTTCAAATGTGCTTCATGAACATATGTAAATCCATTAAATAATGGATCTTTATTTGTCACACTTCCGATAAATGGTTCATGAACACTTGGAGACACTATTTCTTGTGTAAATACTTTATCAACTTGAGCAAGATCAGCTGGACCACTAACCGATGGTTTCCATGGTGGTGGAATTTTTCGTGCTTCTAATTTTTCCCAATCAATTGGATCAAAAAATGGTTGACGTTTTATTTCGTCTACATCTTCTGGTCCGCTACCTAAACGTTCACTCGGAAGTTTTCTTAATAACTAAAAAAAACAAAAAAAAAGAATTTCAATAAATTTTTTAAAATTAATTTCATTAACATACTTGTTCAATTAAATTTCGAGCACGTTCAGATACATTTCCAATAAAACGAAGTGGTCGATTTAAAATATTATCATACATTTCATTAACATCACGTGAATAGAATGGTGGCTAAACGATATTGAAATTAAATATAGATAAATAAATAAATAAAAATGAAATACATACTCGAGCACATAACATTTCATAAGTAACTGAACCTAAACACCACCAATCAACAGCTTTCGTATATGCTTCACGTCGTAGCACTTCTGGTGCAAGATATTCTGGTGTTCCACAAAAAGTTGCTGTTCGTCCTTCACGTCCTTCGGATGATAACATAACTTTACATAAACCAAAATCAGTTAAACGAATATGTCCCTGAAAAAAAAAATAAGAATAAATTTTTTTTCGTTCTGAAATAACATACTTCTCGATCAAGTAAAATATTTTCTGGTTTTAAATCTCTATAGATAATATCAAGTTTATGAAGATAACCAATAGCTGATGTTATTTCTGCTGCATAAAATCGAGCACGTTGTTCACTAAATGCTCGTTCTTGTTGTAAATGAAAGAATAACTAAAATCAATCAATCAATAAGTATATATATATATATATAATTTTAATATATAAAAATGAAAATCATACTTCACCACCATTGACAAAATCCATAACAAAATAAAGTTTATCTGGTGTTTGAAATGAAAATTGAAGTGATACAAGAAATGGATGACGAGTATTTTTAACAAGTACATCACGTTCAGCCATAATATGACGTTCTTCACGTTTTCGTTTGATTAATGCTTTACTTACAACTTTAATAGCATAGATTACATCTTCAGTTTTATGTCGAGCCAAATAAACTTTTCCAAATGAACCTTTTCCAATACATGTACGAAATTCAAAATCATCAGGTTTAACTCTATAAACACAAAATAGAGATCAAAATATTCTTTTTATGAAATAAATTTTAAATATATACGAAGTCTTTTCAGTTTTGCCCAAATTAACACGAGTTATATCGGTCTAGATTAAAAATTAATTACATTATAAAAGAAACAGATAATTTTAGATTTCTAATTACTGGTGTTGATGGATCATCTGTATCATCACTAGTTGCTTTTGCAACATTATTATTGGTTTTACCATTACTTGATTGTTGTGATGGATTTGTTGCTGTTTTCGGTGATCCATTCGATGATGGTTTAGTTATACCAAAAAATTCAATAAATTCAGGCCTAAAAATGAAATTTATCAAACATAGCCATAAGAATAAATGACCTTATCCATAATAAATGTCAATCTAAATGAAGTGCTATCATCAATAGAAATTGATAATTTATCGGGCAGACAACACATAATAAATCAAAAAGAAAGATAAAACAGAAAACAAAAGAACAAAATATTTTACACTTTCATTATTGCGTCGAAATCAGAAAAAAAACAATTTCCTTAACCTTTATATATATATATATTTGTTCTACTTACATATTAACTATTTGTGAGTTAGTGCAAATTTGTTGAACATAATCATTGAGACCACGTTGACGTTTTAATATGAAATCTGGTTCAAATGAATCACCTAATAAACGACGACCGGGTAATTTTAAATCGGAACGAACACGACGAAGCTAAATAATAGAAAACAAAAACAGAAGATATTCATATTTAATTAATAAAAATAATATTATTATTAACCTTTTCATTTAATGTATGAAATTCTTTATAACGTCTCCACATATCCCATTCTTGACCATTATAATTGACGGTTATTTTATATTGAGTAAATTTACGTCCATTTTCTGTATTTGTTTGAGCATCAATAACATGAAGTGTTAATGATCCTGTCGTACTAGCTTTTGAGCTACTTGCTGTCGGACTACTCATCTTTTCTTTAAACAGAAAAATAAATGTAATAATACTAAGATAAAGTAACAGATAAAAGAGAAAAAAAAATGAAATATGATTATCATCATCGTCATTGACAGTGACAACAATGATGGTGATAAGGTATAAGCAAAAATAAAAGACGTAATACAGAAAAAAAAGACTAAGAACGGCAAACCTTGACTTGCACGAGAAAGATTAGACATACTAAGACGATGGCAAAAGATTTAGTAGAAGAGCGGTGAAAAAACAAATATTTTCTTGCATGATTCTTTCAAATTCGATATTCAAACAGGAAATACGCCAAATAATATTGTATGTCACTATCACCATACAACCAACAAGAAGTAAATACAATCGAACGCTACAGTAACGATAATCGTGCGAAATTCTCGATTTTTGCTGTCTATCGACAAGACCGTCTTCTTCTTCTGTTCTTCTTCTTCGTCTCTTTTTTTTTTCAACAAAACACCACACACGCCCCAAACGCACAAATACACGCGCACAGAATGCAAAAAGACCATGACACGTGCATTTTCATTTTCTTCGTTCTTATCATTCAATGACCCAGCCAATTCGGCGGATGCTCTCTGCCCTATTCGTTCTATAAGCTTGTTGCATTTCTTTCTCTCTTCTTTTTCTTCTATTCTTTGGATTGTTTTTGTGTCTGCTATAAATGTTAGGAACTCTATTTATTAAATATCTTAAGATTTATTCCTCTCATAAGATTAAATATTTCAAATATCTACTATCCGTTCTTTCGTACTTAAAATGTATAAACAATATGTCATTTGAAGTATACAAAGATGCTTTAGAAAAAAAAAAAAAAAGTACTTAATTTATAAAAGATGACAAAAGTTATGCGATAGACGCTAGTTTTGTCTGTCACTTGACAATTTAAATTTATCTTCTAATTTTTTTTCTTTAATCTGAACATAAATAGGTTTCTATGCTAGTTATTCTATATCGATGTATTATATAAAAGAAGAAATCTATTATGTTGCCGTCGTCG